GATGCTACATGTGAAAGGCTGTTTTCAGTTTTTATCCAAAAGTAGCACATACATTTAATTCAAAACCCTAAGACTCTAATGGCACCATAGTGTCATGTGGTCCAGTCATATATATATATATATATAGAGAGAGAGAGAGAGAGAGAGAGAAATTTTTTGCTATAGGGTGCGTGCACTTGCTGGAGGGACAGAGAGACAGAAAGCAAGAAATGATCGCTCCAGGGAGAGGGCCATGCTGCAATCCCTTCTCCTTCATTCTCCTCTTGGGATTTTGGTCATACACACTTAGTGCCTGGTGTGAATTTTAAGCCACCAGGTCCAGGACGCAAACCGTGATTGACTATGTGTGAGTTCAACAATGTAACCATTATGCCATCTGCTGGTCCTTGGGCATATATTTTTTTAAGAATTATTTATTTTATTTTATCTATCATTATTATTATTATTTAATTTGACCAGAGAGAGAGAGAAAGAGAAAGTGAGAAAGCAATCCCCAGTCCAGGATTCAAACCGTCATCAGCCATGTGGGAGTCTAGCACCTTAACCACCACGCCATCTGCCAGCCCTGTGGCATATACTTTTACTGAATTGATTTTTTTGTTCACTACATTGTATTCTTCACTATATATTCGAATAGTTGCTAGTACCACACTGCTAATAAATTTAAAATTAATAGAGCTGAATTATAGAGTGCTTTATGCCCTTACCAAAAAGAATTTTTTTAGGCTCAACTACATCTTTATTGATCAAATTAAGAATCATTACAATCATCACGTTTTGGCAGGCGAGAAATAAATTTGTTCATGCTTGTATTGTAAAAATCTGTGCTTTGAGACAAACTCTTGGAAAGCTTTTTCTGCATCCTGCTGGTTGTGGAAGTATTTTCTCTCTATAAAGTTGACAAGATACCTGAAGAAATGGTAGTCAGTTGGCTTGAGGTCAGGTGAATATGGTGGATGATGCAAAACTTTGAAGCCCAATTCGTTCAACCTCTGAAGTGTTGGTTCTGTGATGTGCAGTCAAGTGTTGTCATGGAAAAGAACCTGGGCCTTTCTGGTGACTGATGCCAGCTGCAGGCACTGCAGTTTTGGGTGCATCTCATCAATTTGCTGAGTATACTTCTCAGATGTAATGCTTTCCCCCCAGGACCCAGAAAACTGTAGTATATTAAACCAGCAGCACACAGGTACCATGGCCTCATTCTGGTGTAATGAGGGAAGTGCTTTGGAGCTTCTTCTCAGTCCAACCACTGAGCTGGTTATTGCTGACTGTCATATAAAGTCCACTTTTCATTGCATGTCACAATCCGATCAAGAAACAGTTCACTGTTGTTGCATATAATAAGAGAAGACAACATTTCAGAACAATTTTATTGATTTTCAGTCAGCTCATGAGGTATCCACTTACTGAGTCTTTTCATCTTCACAATTTACTCCAAATTTCAAATGACCATAGAATGGTTAACATTGACTTCTTTGGCAACTTCTTGTGTAGCTGTAAGGGGATCAGGTTCAATGATTGCTCTCAAATGGTCACTGTCAACTTCTGATGACCGTCCAGTATGCTCCTCATCTTTTGTCTCCTTTGGAATTCCACATAAACCTGCCCACGAGATCCACTTGCGTTTCTGCTCCCACATCAGTCTGACTCCCCAGAGTCCCCCAAAGCCAGGAAGTGCCTGTATCACCCTTCACCCACATTGAGAGACAGTGACAGTAAACCACACCCCAACAAATAGCATCTAAAACAAACCAAAGAAAGGAACTTCCAACTCAAGGTGGTGGCAGAGGGCCCCAAAGGGAATTTTTTTTTTAATTCAAAAAACAACAGTATTTGAGGTTGGGGGGGGGTGTAGAAGAATCTATGCATTACAGATATGAACAACAAAAAGAGTGGATTTTATTGTACATTTTCTTGAAAAAGTTTACTCCCACTTCTTGGCACAAACTCTACTTGCTTCCCTTTCACAGTAAAGACAAAAGCTGTTACAATGATCAACAAAAGCTCTAAGAACTGGCCTTCATTACCTGATCCTCCTTTCACTGTTCCTCCTTGATTATTCTGTCTTACCCACATTGGCCTCTTGACTTCTCGAACATTGAAAGACATATTCTTTTCTCTGGGTGACTTTCTCTGGCTATATCCATGCCTATTTGCACTCTCAATTTCTTCAGGTCTTCATTTTAAATTCTATCTACTCAGTGAAGCTTTCCCTGAAAACCCATTCTAAATTGAAAACTCAGATTTACGATCTCTTCCTTGCTTTGAATTTTCTTTTTAGCCCTAAACCCTTTTAAAATGCAATATCCTGGGACCAGTAAATGGCTTAATGGTTATGTCACTGGACTCTCACGGTATGAGTCCTGGACCAACTGGCTTAAAAAAATACCTCACGTCAGACCTCATGTGCGCATGGGTACCCAAAATCCCAAGAGGAGAATAGAGGAGAAGGGATCACAGTGTGACCATCTCTCCTTCTCATTTTCAGTCTCTCTGTCTCTCCAGTGAGCGCACACACTGAAAGGAATGTAAACCCTGAATATGAGGACAAAAAACAAAGGTAAAGATGACAAATGGAGAGAACAAAGTAGATAAAGCATAGGACCCAGGTGGCATTAATGAAACACTGCACTCCACCTTGTCAATGACAAAATGAGTAACTACTGATTAAGCAGTTATTCAAGGCTTTGGTTTCTAAATGATTATATAAAAAGTTGTTTCGGCTATCCAGTAGTATGATGGCATGGTGATTAAGGCAGCTGGATCCCACATGGCTGACTGTGCAGATCAAGTCCTTGCCCCAGTGGTTTGAAAAACACACCAGACATGTGTGCATGCATGCCCAAAATCCCAAAATATGAGAGAAATGGAAAAGGGACTGTAATATGACAATCCCCATGGAGAGCACTTTCTCACTATCCCTCCCTCCCTCTCCAGCAAGTGCAGGAGACCTATGGCAAATTTTAAAAAAAGAAAGCAAAGAAGAAATCATAATACAAATGATGTACTTTTCTGGACTCTTAATTAAAACCCTGTGTAAAAATAATCTTACTGGTTTGTCAATCCAGCTAGTCTCGGTCCATATCAGGATTTATGATTCTTTTTTAAATAATCAAAACAAAAAAATCATACAGTAAAACAACTGAAGTCTAAATTGATTTGATTGCAAGTTTATTTAGTGCTTTCAGGTAGGAGACAGAGACCCTAAGAATATAGCTAGGATATAGGCCCCAAATGGAATCATTGAATGGCTAAGTTTTGTTTTGTTTTTTTTTTTTAGAGAGATTTTCACTGTAGGGCGCGTGCGCTCGCCAGACAGAGAGAGACATAGAGACAGAAAGTGAGAAATCACCCCCCAGGGGGGATGGTCATGCAGCAATCCCTTCTCCTCCATTCTCCTCTTGGGATCTTGGGCACGCACGCGCCCGGGGTGAGTTTTAAGCCACCGGGTCCGGGACACAAACCGCGGTCGACTTCGTGGGAGTCCAGCGACATAGCCATTACGCTAACTGCTGGTTCCCTGAATGGCTAAGTTTTAAGATGGAGACACAACAGCTCAGCTCTCACTGAACTGCTTGCCAAGAAACAGCTTTCAGGGCTGGCAGATGGTGTGGTGTTTGGGACACTGGATTCCCAAATAGCTGACTGTGGTTTGAATCCTGGACATGGCTCACTTCCTCTTTTCTTTCTCTCTTTCTCTCTCTCTCTCTCTCTCTCTCTCTCGCTCTCGCTCTCTCGTCAAATTAAAAAATAATAATAGCAATAAAATAAAACAATTATTTAAAAAAAAAGAAAAAGAAAAATGGCTTGCAGCAGTGACTCAATGATTGGCCCAAAGCAAATACAGCAAAGGCTTATTTATTTATTTTTGCCAAAGGGTGCTTGCACTTATAGGAGAAAGGAACCAAAGTGAGAAACCACCCCAGGAGGGATAGTCATACCAGAAACCACCCCAGGAGGGATGGTCTTTGGTAAGACCTAGATTTTTTCCTCAGCAGTTTAGTGTAGCAAGAAACCAGACCTCTCTTGGTTTGAAACTCGGTTCTTTCCCTCATCCTCCTCTTGGGATTCTGGGCACACATGCACGCAGGCACACACCTGGCCTGACACAGGGTCCAGGACGCAAACCTGGGTCAACCACGTGAAAGTTCAGCACCTTAGCCACCACGCCACCTGCCACATGGCTTAGGGCCCGCGCCAAGGTCAATGTTAACTGAACGAGTCACTAAAAATAGGTATCCTGTAATACACAGGGATCACGAAAATTATACTCATAATTTTTTAAAACTTGGACATAGAGTTATATAATAAGTATCCTTGGCGTTCAGGACTCTTAACCCACAGGCACAGTCGACTAACAGAAGCCACAAGAACGACCCAAGGCTTCGTACACTAGAGCAGAGGCCCGGGAACATTGCGGCTGTGAGACAAATGTCAGATCCTCTCCATCTCCAGTAATAGCAGGAGAGGATGCTCCACAATGCGGAGAAGAAGCCAGATTCAGAAAGTGGGGGGAAAGGCGCTCGGAGCTGCGGGGATTCTGTAGGAACGTATGCGATGCTCACAACAGGACAACGTGACGACTAGCAAGAGAAGCAAAAAGGTAGGATACAAGGCTACCTTTCCACGGTAGAACCCAAATATGCGGCCAAGAAACCCATGGGCGCCGGGACGCTTGCGTCATCTTCGAGCGTCGGGGTTACGTAGTACCTTGTGCGCTACCTTTACCTTTCCATAGAAGCTGTGGAGTCTGACTGACAAAGCCGGAGAGAAAGCTATATGTAATAAAGAATTGTGTACACATATCTAATCCCTTGCCTCCAGGTCTCTTTTGCTATTACCTTTTTAACACGTGTTTTAGTTCAGTTGCCCAAACAAAAAATGGCGGCACAGGCGCCTGGGCCTACCATAGAGTCTCAGGCTAGAGGAGCCTGCGGGTGGGCTCTGTGGGCTGGGAAACTCGCACTGTCACTCGGCTCCGTAGAGGAAATTCGGGGCGGGTCCCGCTTAGGACTTCCTGCGTCTGCGCGAAGATGGAGGAGGAGAGTGTCCGCGTGGTTCGTTGCGGCGGCAGCGAGCTGAACTTCAGGAGACCGGTGTTCTCTGCGGATTCTAAGTATGAGGGCACTGCGCATGGTCAGCATGGCTGAGGGCCGTGAGGCCCCGCAGGGCGGGAGGAAAGGACTAAAAGGCGCGACGGGACTGGCCAGCCGACAGGTCTGGGCACTCTAAGGGGTTGGCGCGGGATAACCCAGGGTAGACAGCAGGGAGCCGGTGCCTGAGTTGTAAGAGAAGTGAGAACCCTTACTCCTGCAGCCCTGCAGACTTGGGGTGAGCCTCCCCCTCCCTGGACAGTTTACATGCAGGTAGATTGAGGGGCGCAGGGGTGGGTCCACGTGTCTAGAATTGGCTGTGCGCTGAGGCGGCTGGTCCAGGCATGGGAGTGCACGATGCTTTTCGCAGTACCCCAAGGAGCATTCCTACTCTTTCTTATAGAATCTCGTTTTGGAATTACCAAACTTAAATATTCCGCTTTCACCTGTGTCCCCCAGCAGGAAAAGGCATGTTGTCAGACTCTTTTTTGGAGCTCTGCAGATAAACCAAAGTTAGATTCCATATACGAGATTAAAATGTGGTAAGACTTAGATTTTTTCCTCAGCAGTTTAGTGTAGCAAGAAACCAGACTTCCCTTGGTTTGAAACTCGGTTCTTTACATCGTGAGACTTAATCTCTTGTCAATTACCACATCTGTCAAATGGGGATAATGTTTAATAATTCATCTTGTAAGGGTGCCGAAAGTATTAAATGCCTGGATACTCATAAAGCACGAACAAAAATGCTTGGCATTTCATATATGTCAGCTGTCATCGTCATTGCAGGATTTTCAACATCATCTGGAAGTGAAATGCTATAGTAAGAAAACATTTTCAAATCACTGAGAGTGACATTTAGTGACAGCCGTTTCTGTCTTAGAAGAATATAGCATGCTAGCGAGAGTTTGTGTGCTCCACAGTATCCTGCCATTGTGTGCGTTGGAAATAGGCGTTGAATGCATGCAGGGCAGAAGGAGTTTTCATAAATTGCCTTAGAGGCTCAGAACGAATGAGGTCCATTGTATGTTTCATTTGCTAAGCCCAGCAATTCGTTTTTAAGTATTTTTCAACTGTGTGTTATACATAACAAGCTGAGATGACAAAAACTAAGAATTCTGATAATGACCTAAGCTGTGCACCTCTAGTAGGAAAAGGAAATGTTTAGCAACCTCTGTCATACTGTGATGCTCTAGGAGCTCAGAAGAGATGACGTCAAAGTGAGAAGAATGGAGAAGGTGGCTGAAGGAGTGACATTTAGGCTAACCGTAGATGGGCGGATGGTGTTTTGACTAGCGGATATAGAAGGAAGGCGTTTGGGGACCAGCAGATGGTGTAATGGTTACATCGCTGGACTCCCACATAGTCCACCAAGGTTGGAGTCCCAGACTTGGCATCGCTGGACTCCCACGTAGTCCACCAAGGTTGGAGTCCCAGACTTGGTGGCTCAAAACTGATGCTAGCCGGGTGTGTGTACATGCCCAAAATCCCAAGAGGAGAAGGGATTGCAGTGTGGCCTTCTTCCCTGAGGGGTGATTTCTCACTTTCTGTCTGTCTCTTGTCTCTTCAGCGAGCACACATGGTGATTTCTCACTTTCTGTGTCTCTTGTCTCTTCAGCGAGTGCACATGCCTATAGCAAAAAATCTCTCTCAAAAAAAAAAAAAAAAAGCATTTCAGGCACAGTATAAGCAAGGTGGTAAAATTGTATTTATATTGAACAGACTGGTACTGTTAGCTAGTAGAAATAATATAGGAAAAGCTCAGGGGAAACGAGCTTAGAAAGGGGACTTGGAGCAAGTTACTGGTTACTGTTCCGTCCAAAGAGAGTGGGTGTTTTCTTTCTCTAGTTAAAAATGCAAAGGCTGTAATAATATGCAAATCTTGAAGAACAGTAATTTGAAATCTGTGAAATTCTGTAGTAAGTGTTACAAAGTGGAAAGAGCGGTAAGTAAGCTGGTATGCTCCAAGTTGTGAAGTTTCCCTCAGTAGAGGATCTTGCAGCACTGGCAGGAGTTCCCTCATCAAGGATATAGAGGGAGGGCGTTCCAGGTGGAGGGAGCAGCTGGAAATTTGATAAAGGTGGAGGTTTGAACTGGCCCTTTATGTAAAGTCAGTATAATTGCTGTATAGGATATAGGGAAATGTTGGAAGTGAAATTCGGAAGAGTAGAGGCCAGAGGTTAGAGGGCTGATGCAGGTATCTAAACAAGAAATGACTGGCCCACCCAGAGAAAATATTGAAGATGGGGAAAAGATTTGACTGGTTTTTCCTGATTCATTTTATCCAGTTATGTTATAAAACCTTTCAAGATAGGGCAAGTTCTCTTCAACAAACTGTATTGGACATTGGAAATCAAAAGTAAATACAGCTTTTGCCATATAGGAATGTATCGCTAGATAAAGAAGATTGATATACATGTAAAGTTTTAAAAACACTAAGATAAAATCATATGCAGGGTGTTTTGGGATCACAGAGAAGTCTGGCCCAAGGATTCTGTCAGGGTTTTTTGCCTTCCACAATCTACAGAAAGAACGTTAGTTAGAAATGATAGGCATAGAACAAACATGTTTTATTTGAGAAACAACTAAATTTGTATTTCTGAGCTTTGCCCTAAGGTAATATTTATTATGAAAAGAGTCAAACAAATATTACCCCAACTTAACCACTTTTTGTAACTTAATAACCCCTGCTTTTTTGGAAGAAATCTACAAATCTACAAAGATAAAAGCAAAACTCACCTTTCAGCAAGAAGGAAAAAAAAAAACTGGCATAAAGTCTGTGCTTTGCTCTACAAGAGAGTTCTGAACCTCACCAACTGGACTATAGCCTTTGACTGCATTTGAATTTTTTTTCCCTTTATTCATGGTAGAGCATATGCACATAAAAAACAGTAACACCCTTCATAGGATCGGGTCATGCCGCAGTCACTTTCCTCCAGTCTTCCAACCTGTCTGACCTTGGGCACTCACATGTATGCCTGGGGTATTTCAGGCTGACCAAAGGTTCAAACCACAGTTGCCATGTGTGATCCAGCTTCTCTTGAAGCAGCCACTCTGCCGCAGAGCTACGTTTGTCTTAGTATTTGTAAGGTGGTGTTTCCCATGAACTACGAGAGTATGGGGACAAGGGAAAACACAAATGTTAGCAGAACCACTAAAGAGTAATAGTAATAGTTGATAGTATATGGCATGGCATATGTCCATTTAGTGACCAAGCAACTTGTTTAAGTCAACTGTTTTCGTAGGATGATTTCATACAGCTATGGAAGAGAAAAGACATTGGCCTCATACTCTGCCCTGAGTTAATAAACTTATCTGTCTAGGAATCCTCATAGACTTATACAGAACAAAGCTTTGAATACACAGCTCTTAACCTATTTTGAAAGAAACCTTTGTTGCATGTTATTTTTATCGTGGGCAATAAAACGTTTCTACTACCCACAGAGTACCTGAAACCTATTTTTTCTTTCTTTTCTTCCAGGTATATCTTCTGTGTCTCTGGAGACTTTGTTAAAGTTTATAGTACAGCTACTGAAGAGTGTGTGCACATATTACATGGACACAGAAATCTGGTGACTGGAATCCAGCTCAATCCCAACAACCACCTACAGGTGCCAAAAAGTTGATAATTGAACTTTTTAACATTGGCTTTATAGTTGACATAAATTTTGAGCTGTATTTGGCTAGGAAATGTTCCAGGTAATGATCAGGAAAGTCTCTGTTGCTTTTCTGATTCAAGGTATTTTTCACTTATTTTTAGTTGTTAAAATAGGAGCACAGGGGACCAGCAGTTAGCGTAGTGGCTGTGTCACTGGACTCCTATGTAGTCGACTGCAGTTCGAGTCCCAGATCTTGTAGCTTAAACTCACGTCGGGCACGTGTGCATGCGTGCCCAAGATCCCGAGAGGAGAATGGAGGAAAAGGGATTGTGGTGTGGCCATCCGAGGGAAAGTGATTTGTGGTTGGCCCACCCCCCCCCCCCCGGGGCTGATTTATCACTTTCTGTCTCTCTGTCTTTCTGGGGAGCACATGTGCTCTATAGCAAAAACCTCTCCCAAAAAAAAGAAAAAGAGCATTAAAAAAAAAAAATAGGATCACAGAAGCCAGCAGGTGGTGTGGTGGTTACAATTTTGGATCCCACGTGACCTGCTATGTGGTTAGCGTCCTGGACCTACCAGCTTGAAAAACATACCAGGCGTGTGTGTGCATGTGTGCCCAAAATCTCTAGAAGAGAGTGAAAGAGAAAGGATTGTGACTGGCCATCACCCCTCACCCCCGCCACCACTCCCCCCTAGGGGTGGGGGTGATTTCTCACTTTCCTTCTCTGTCTGTCCTTTGTCTTCCTCTGGTGAAGACATGTCCCCTATAGCAAAATAAAATAATAGGATAACAGCGTAGAACTTCATTGCCCATAGTGTTTTCTGCAACCATTTGTTCCACTGGATGGTAATAAGTTACTTACTTGACAAGGATGATCTTGGTTGTGTGTCTGAAATTCAGATCTAGGCCAGGTTATGTGAATTTTCTAATTAGAGATCTTCTCAAGTCTCCTTCTATGCATTGTGAATATTCAAAAGGTACATGTAGTATCTGGTGTATCTCAAACTTATTTGACCTCTGAACCCTTGGGTTTCTGGAACACATTTTGAAAAATATAGGCCAAAAAGTAATGATTGGCAGATTGATTCTTTTAGAGATGAGGCTCCTAAGGATTAAAGCAAGTTTTACATAACCCTAAGACCAGAGTCTAGACAAGAAGGGCTTCTTGACTTAGTGGATTGTCCAGTTCATTTCAAGACAAAGTTGGGAATCTAATTTAGACCAGACCACCCCACTTCTTCCACAAAGTAGCCTTTGCTTCTCAGAATTCAAAAATATTGAAATGGTCATTTTAATTCTGTTATTATGTTTTAACAAAGCTACTAAAAATTTGTTTCAAGCATATTTTGCTCTTACTCTAGTTTTCAGTCGAGTTCTATTTCTCTGGATTAGTCACAGCTGACTTGGAAGTTAATGCTTCATTTAAGATGGATTTGATGGAACCAGCAGGTGGTGTAATGGTTATGTCACTGGACTCCCACGTAGTTGACAGTGGTTCGAGTCCTAGACCCAGTGGCTTAAAACTCACCCTGGGTGCTTATGCATGTGGGCCCAAAATCCCGAGAGGAGAATGGAGAAGGGACTGTGGCATAGCCATCCCTCCCCTGGGGTGGGGGGAGGGGCAGTGATTTCTCACTTTCTGTCGCTGTCTCTTTGGTCAGCACATGTACCGGTTGGCAAAAATCTCTCTCTTAAAAAAAAAAATGGATTTGAATTGTAAAGAAAGTAGAGCATAAGATAATAGTGATCTTTTCTTTCCAAAATTAAATGAGCCACTCTTAAAAATCAAAGTGAAAGCTTAACCATAGTAGCACAGTGGATAGGAACTGCTACTCAAAGCTGGAGCCTCATAGAAGGTCCAGGTTCTGATCCCAGACCAACCCAGGCATACGGGGAGGTAGGTACCTGTAATCTTAGCTAGCTGGCTAGGGTAGGGTGATTGCCACATGGTGAGACCCTGTCAGAAAATAGCTATTATAACCCCCTCTACCTTAAAAAAAAAAAAAAAAGAAAGAAAGAAAAAGTAACTTTTCTGCTGGATCAAAGCATATATTTTATCCTGCCATCCTCTGAAGGTTTAAGTTTATTTTATGTAGCATTTGTATGTTTTAAAAACAAAAACATGCTTTAAACATTAAAACTTTTTAGGGACCAGCGTATGACATGGTAGTTAATGGTGCTGGACTCCCACATGGCCGACCATAGTTCAAGTTCCAGACCTGGCAATTTGCTCTCTCATTTTCCCTCTCTCTTACTCTGTCCCTCTCTGGTCAAATTTAACTAACTAAATAAATAAATTTAAATAAAATAATGCTCTAAAAAATAAGATTGGAAGTCTTTAAAAAAAATTAAGAGTTTGTGAACTCTTGAGCTTCATAACAAAAGCCATATACACGTGACATAAAATGTGTATCAGGTGGGGGGCCAGCAGGTAGCGTGCTGGTTAAGGGCACTGGACTCCCACATGACAGACCACAGTTTGAGTCCTAGATCTGGCGGCTTTCTTTCTCCCTCTCTCTCCCACTTACTCTGCACCTCTCTAGTCAAATTAAAATAAATAAATAAATCTAGGACCAGCAGTTGGTATAATGGCTATGTCACTGGACTCCCATTTAGTCGACTGCAATTCAAGTCCCAGACCTGGTGACTTAAACTCACACCAGGCACGTGTGCATGCGTGCCCAAGATCCTGAGAGGAGAATGGAGAAGAAGGGATTGTGGCATGACCATCCCCGCAGGGGAGTGATTTCTCACTGTCTCTCTGTCTCTCTCTGTCTTTCTGGCGAGCGCACGCACCCTATAGCAAAAACCTCTCCAAAATACATAAATAAATAAAGTTTAAAAAATTTTTAAAAATGTATATCAGGTGAATACAAGTAAAAATTTAAAGAGAGCAACTTTATTAGGTTTGGTTGGGCAGAGGTTCTGTGGATTTAGAAGTCACAGTTTTTATGTATTAATTATTGCTTTGACAGTGATTATATTTTACTCATCTCTGTTTATGATTCTTATACATAATAACTATGGTGTATGTTATCCATTTAATGTAATTAAATGTAATTATTTTACTTAGATAATATTGTCTTACTCCAGCATTTTTTATAAACATTATAAGCAAAGTACTTTCACAAAACAGCAACAACAGTAAAATCTTAGTAAATTTAAAAGCACTGGGGACAAATAAGCCTATGTGTTAGTAAAGCTGCAAAGCCAGCCTTGTGGGACCCAGCTGCCTTAGCCACCGTGCTACCAGCCGGACCAGGATTTTTAAAATGAGTGAACAAGAGATAGGCACTTCTGATAGAGTCTTGTCATGCCACAGTCCCCTTCCCCCAACCTTCCAGCTTGTCAGGATCTTGGGTACATGGTGTGTTTCAGGTCATCTCAGGATTTGAACCTACAGATATAGTGACTTCTGGCACTGCAGATCAATATGCAACCCCAAGTGGGCCAGATTTTTATTTTATAATTTCTTAATTAGAAATTCTTTGCTGGGACCAGCAGTTAGCATAATGGCTGCATCCTGGACCCAGTGGCTTAAAACTCACGCTGGGCGCGTGTGCGTGCGTGCCCAAGATCCCGAGAGGAGAATGGAGAAAGGATTGCAGTGTGGCCATACCCCCTGGCGGTGATTTATCGCTTTTTGTCTCTATGTCTCTCTCTGTCTGGCGAGCGCACGTGCCCTATAGCAAAAACCTCTCTAAAAATAAAAAGAAATTAAGGAAAAAAAGAAATTCTTTGTTCATTTGAGAAACATGTAAGATAAAAGCAGTTCAGCTAATAAAAAAAGGACTGTGCTTTGAGAGAAATAGCAAGATCTTTTTTTTTTTTTTTAAGTTTCTTTCTTCATTCGAAAGAGTAAGACAGTGATTGTCTATATGCTCTCAAGACACAATCCTCCTCGAGCCTTCCAAGCCAACCAGAATCACAGGCTCACAAAGCACCCCTGACATGTACGTCAACTCACGACCCAACCTGTGATCTTCCGTATGGATACAGCGTCACTGTGCGGCACACTGTCCGCTGCCACCATGACTGTCTGCAACAAGCTCCTGAGTGCTTTTCATAACTCAGTATCTAACCATTTTCCTCTTGAAGGTAGAAAATTGACTTTCAGTTGATTTTGAAATTGATGGGTCTCTTTCCTCCAAACTGCTATGATAAGATTGTCTGTTTTACAGCCACAGTATAAAAAATGACTGTAAGGCTAGCAGTGAATTCATGAACAGAAAATTCCTCTGTATTAGCACTTAATTATTCATTTGCTATCTTAATAGACTTTTGTATTTTTAATCTGTTTTGTACTCTTTTTACCCTTTTAGCTGTATTCGTGTTCTCTTGATGGCACAATTAAACTATGGGACTACATAGATGGCATTTTGATAAAGGTATGTATACCAGTCTTCAGTTTTCCTTGCATGGAAAAGAATGGCAGCATGTGTAATTTAATGAAAGATGCACATTTCCCCTTTAGAAGGCAACAACTTTGGATAGACATTTTTAAACAAGTTGTAAAATTCATATACCATTAAAAAAGGACAAAATTGACTATAAAACTTTTGAACTTTTTTTTTTTTAGGAGATTTTTGCTAGAAGGCACATGTGCTCCCCACTGAAAGACAAAGAGATGCAAAGTGAGAAATCACCCCCCAGGGCAGATGGTTATACCACAATCCTTTCTCCATTCTCCTCTCTGGATTTTAGGCACACAAGTATACACATCCAGAGTGAATTTTAAGCTGCCAGGTCTGGGACTCGAATTGCAGTCAACTATGTGGGAGTCCAGTGATGTAACCATTATGCCATATGCTGGTCCACCCCCAAATTTTGAACTTCTAAGACAAAATATAAGGAAAACTCCATGAGAAAAATATCTACAAATAGCCCAGTAGAAAAAAATGGGAATAGGATAAGAAGGTATAAATTTGTAGAAAAAGAAATACAAATAGCCAATAAGCCTAAAGAGACACTTAAACTTACTAATAATTAAAGAAACACAAAACAATGATGTGGCGTTTTTCCCTAAGAATTTAGCCAAATTGCAGATGGAAAAAAATCTAGAGTTAGGTAAAGTGTAGAGATTGTGCACTTTTGTACACAATCAATGAGAATAAATATAAAAATAAATACCTTTTTCTCCAGCAACTTCACCTAAGAATTTCTTATTGAAATAATGGCATATATAGGGGCTAGCAGATGGTATGGTGTTTTCACCTAAAAATTTCTTATTGAAATAATGACAAATGTAGTGGCTAGCAAGGGGACTGCCACATGGTTGACTACAGTTCAAGTCCTAAACTGGGTGACTTGAAAAATCATGCCAAGCATGTGTCATGCATGTCTAAAGTCCCAGGAGGAGAATGAGAATGGAAGAAAGGGAGTGACCATCCACCCTGGGAGTGATTTCTCACTTTTTCTCTCACTACCTCTGTCTCCTGTGAGTGCACATGCCATATGGCAAAAACCTTAAAAACATTATTTATGGTAAGAGAAAATTAAATAAAACCTTATTCTTTGAGTAGAATACTGTATAAACTTGAAAGATTACTCAGCACAGGTACCAGCAGTTAGCGTAATGACTATGTTGCTGGACTCCCATGTAGTAGACCACAGTTTGTGTCCCAGACCCGGTGGCTTAAAACTCACACCGGGCGCGTGTGCATGCATGCCCAAGATCCCGAGAGGAGAATGGAGGAGAAGGGATTGTGGCGTGGCCACCCTCCTGGGGGGTGCTTTCTTGCTTTGTCTCCCTGTCTCTCTCTCTGTCTGTCTGGTGAGCACATGCGCCCTATAGCAAAAAACCTTCTCCCCCCCCAAAAAAAAGATTACTCAGACATATGTATTATGTTCTGTAAGCCAGGTACTAATGTTGGGGACATAATAGTGAGCAAAACAGATAAAAATCTCTGCCCTTGTGGAATTAATGTTCTCCTGGGGGGGGGTAGAAATGGACAATAAACAACATGGTGCTTTTTATTTTTCAGACTTTCATAGTTGGACATAAACTTCATGCCCTCTTTACTCTTACCCATGCTGAAGATTCTGTCTTTGTTACAATAAATAAAGAAAAACCAGGTAGAGTATAATTAACTTACTTTGTTTTTATATGGCCTTGAATGGCTCTTTATATTTTATAGTTTCACAAAATACAATGTTTTGGTTTTAATCCAAAGCTAAGTTTTTGGAGATACCATTCCAGTTGCTTTTGTTGTCCCTACATTAATTTGGGGGAGACTCAGTTATGAAATATGCAGTGAGGGAATGATTATTTTAGATAGTAATAATAGGCTGTAGCACTCAAATTTTAAAGCTATTTTACAAAGATGGGCTAGAATTTATTTTTCTACTGAACTTAAATCTATCATTCTTAATCATCAGTAGTATTTTACCCAACCTTGAACAACCCCTGCTTGTTGGTCCTGAATCAGTATAGAAAATGGTATTCAAAATAGATTGATGTTTAAAACCAGTAATGTGGTTAAATTATTAGTAATTATATTTTCACTGGAATAATATTTCATTAAAGTTACCGTGTACTCAAACATTTTAGGAATCTCGTAATACTCTCAGTGATTACAAATAATTGTCCTTCATCAGATGAGAGAATTTGGTACCACAGAAATTGACATGAAGGAAATATTAAAAGAAATACTTGTTCTTTTTGGTTTTAACTATAGGGTGTGTGTGCTCACCAAAGAGAGATCGGGTGGAGTTGTAATGAGAAATCTCCCCCTCAGGGGGGTGGGGATGTAATGAAAAATCTCCCCCTCAGGGGAATGGCCACACCACAGTCCCCTCTCCTCTAGTCTCCCCTCGGGATTTGGGGCATGCACATCTGCCCAACATGAAGCCACTGGGTCCGGGACTCAAACTGTCAAGTTGGCCATACGGGATCCATCTCTCTTTAACCTCCATGCCACCTGCTGGCCACAAAGAAATTTTCTTTGCCAAACAAAGACTTCAACTTTAAGGTACATTTTGTTCAATAGAGCCTTGAATTATTATCTAGGCATCAAGTGAATTCTAGGGTACTTATTAACGGTTTCATGTGAATGAATGCACATGTTCACTTTCTTCAGAGAAACTTTACATTAACACAGCTTTCTTTGGTTAGATGTGTTTCAGCTGGTTTCAGTGAAGCTGCCAAAATCCTCAAGTCAGGAAGTAGAAGCTAAGGAGATATCCTTTGTTTTGGATTACATAAATCAGTCACCAAAGTACATTGCCTTTGGAAATGCGGTAAATTTTGTTTTGTTGATTTTCTATTTTGCACATAAAATCTCTTCCCCACACTTTCTCTCTGAGCATTTTATATTACAGTGATTTTATGTTGTCTTGAATTACGGTATTTTTGCTAGTAGTTACAAAGCCTCTTTTATTGGTTTAGCATATATTTACAGTATAGTTTTTTAGGTCCATTATTACTTTGTGTATTCTTTCCTGTTGCCCTAGTAAGCCCTCTAATTGTCTGAGAAGTACCCACGTTATGGCATTTTGTACTCTATTTCCTCCTCCCTCCCCTTTCTCCCACACCATGCTTTCATTAATGGAAAAAAAGGTGATATACCCCTTCACATCTACTAGAACAGCTAATGTTGGCCAGTTATTTATCAAATATAAATAAATACCATTACCCAGCAATTCTCTTAGGTAGAGAAATGGAAACCACAAATGATGTGTACAGTGATTATTATTTGTAAATCCCTCAAAATGTGAATAACCCAAATGTTCATTAACAAGAGAATAAACGGATCATGATGCATATTCAGTGGGATGCTTTTCTGCATTAAAAAAGAACTTCAGATGATGTTGAACTAAAGAATACATACTCAGAAGTTAGAGCATATTGTATCATTCCATTTACATGAAGTTCTACAAGCAGAAAAATAAACGTAGTGATAGAAACGAATAGTTACTGGCTCAGGTAGGAACATGGAGGATTGACTGAAGAGGAATGAGGATACAGTCAGATGAAGGAAATGTTCTAGATCTGGATTGTGATAGTGGCGATATGGGTGTATACATATGTCAAACATTGCATTTTATTGTATGTAAATTATCCCTTAATAGAAAAGATTAAATAATTATAGTTAAAGGTAGAGAATCTTTTTTAGAATTTAGGACCTAAGTTCATTTTTTTATTTTTTTTTAATCATGGTTTTAAAAGTAGTAGTAGTATTCTTTCCATAGCCAAAGTATAATGTATCATTTTATACCAATATCTTTTTTTTTTTTCAGGGTTTTGCTTTAGGACACATGCGCTTGCCAGAGAGACAGAAACAGAGAGAGGGAAAGTTAGAAATCACCCCCTCCTCCCATGGTGGATGCCATGTCACAGTCCCTTTTCTTCCATTACCCTCCTGGGATTTTAGGCATGCATGCACAGGTACCAGGCATGATTTTCAAGCCACCAGCCACCAGGTCCAGGACTTAAATTGCGGCCAGTAAGAAGGAAACATTATCCCTATTCCATTTGTCTTCTTACACTAATATGATCTTTTTTTTTTTTTTTCACTGTAGGGTGCGTGCACTCACCAGACAGACAGAGAGAGAGAGACATAGAGACAGAAAGCGAGAAATCACCCCCCAGGGGGGATGGTCACGGCGCAATCCCTTCTCCTCCATTCTCCTCTCGGGATCTTGGGCACGCACGCACACGCGCCCGGCGTGAGTTTTTTAAGCCACCGGGTCCGGGACATGAACCGCGGTCGACTACGTGGGAGTCCAGCGACATAGCCATTATGCCAACTGCTGGTTCCCCTAATATGATCTTAATGTGCCAGACAAAAACCATTGTTACTGTTAACTTTTTCTTTTTCATTTTATTTTCTTTTTTTTTTTTTTTTCACTGTAGGGTGCGTGCACTCACCAGACAGACAGAGAGAGAGAGACATAGAGACAGAAAGCGAGAAATCACCCCCCAGGGGGCATGGCCACGCTGCAGTCCCCTCTCCTCCATTCTCCTCTCGGGATCTTGGGCATGCATGCACATGCACCCAGCATGAGTTTTAAGCCACCAGGTCTGGGACTCGAACCCCGATCGACTACATTTGAGTCCAGCAACATAGCCATTATGCTAACTGCTGGTCCCGTTAGTGTTAACTTTCATGATGAGAATATTTCTTCTTAAAGAGTGCTGACTATTCTGTGAATGTTGCCTTTTCTTTGCCATACCAGGGGGAATATGTTGCCGCAGTACGAGACTTTTACTTGTCTGTTTATTTTTTCAAAAAGAAAACAACCTCAAGGTAAGAATTCCTTTTTGTTAGCTTTATGTCATTTACTCAGAGTTTATCTTGTTTCACCCTCACACCTGTGATCCAGTGATATTTCTGGTTTCATATAACAAGGCATTGTGAGACCCTGAGGGGCAGAGGTACAGTTTTTAACCCCCAGTGGGTGGGGGTGTGACAGTGTTCGTCACAAAATCCTAGGGAACTTTTTCCAGCCAAAAGCCCAGGAATTTAGCACTCCTTAATTCTGGTCTGCATAGTTGGTGTCAGGATGAATACATTTTGAAAAGCCTATACCATGTTATTCTCAATTCCATTTTATGACCATAGGATAATAATATTTTAAATAGTATTTTAAATATTTTTAAATGGGTTTTAAAAAGTGTAGATGGTTGACAGATACTCAGCCTACAAATAGAAAATAGCCTAGAAAATTCCCCAGGCTTGTCCATACCTCTTGCTGAAATTTAGGTTCAATGAGAAATTTGAACAAACTTTGTCTAGACTAAAAAAAACAGTGAAAAAAACTGTTTTTTCTTTTTTATTTTAGATTTTTGACATAGGGCACATGAGAGAGATATAGAGAGAGAGGGAAAGTGAGAAATCATCCCCCCAGTGGGAATGGCCATACTGCAGTCCCCTCTCCTTCATTCTTCTCTTGGGATTTTGGGCATGTACACACATGTGCCTGGAGTGTTTTTTAAGCTGCCAGGTCTGAGACTGGAACCACAGAGTTGCCATGTGGGATACAGTGCCTTAACCTCCACCTGTTGTCCTTTAAATATTTTTCTTTATTTCAATGACAGTGGGTTCCATAGACAAGGTATTATGATAGAATATTAGTCATGAAATTTCTATTGTATGTTAATACTTCTTTATAAAACAAAATGCTGAATTCCTGACAAACACCTGGGATTTATAGTCTTCAGATTCCGAGTTAGTTGATAAGGCTAGGGACTCCTTTAATACCTAGCTATATTATCACTTACCAAGAGATAAGAAACTTTAGTAATCCAGGAAATTTATTTTTCTCCTAGGTTTACTTTATCATCTTCAAGAAATAAGAAACATGCTAAGAACAATTTTACATGTGTAACATGTCACCCAAAGGAAGACTGCATTGCAACTGGTCACCTGGATGGCAAAATACGTCTTTGGTCAGTTAACTCCTGAAGAGTATGGTGATCATTTATTACTGTTTTATTAGTCCTGCAGAAGAGGGCTATTTCTGGTCTAGGAAGAAGAGCAGTATAGGAGATGAGGCATAACTGACATCCTCCTTTGTTTTTTTATTTCTTTTTTAAGAAATTTCTGCTATAGGGCACATGCGCTTGCCAGAGAGTGAAACAGAAAGCGAGAAATCAAGACCCCGACCCCACCCTGGGATGGGCATGCATGCACCTGTGCCTAACATGAGTTTCAAACCAGCAGGTTCGGGACTCGAACCATGGTCGTTCATGTGAGAGTTCCGTGCCTAAAGCAC